GATCTGGGCAATTTATTTAATTTCTCATTGGCTCAGGATTTTTTATTCAGAGTGACTGGTTGTGTGTGTGTGTGTGTGTGTGTGTGTGTGTGTGTGTGTGTGTGTGTCACTGCGCACAAGTGGAAGTCAGAAGACAACTGGAGTCTGTTCTGTTCTTCCATCACATGGTTTCAGGGATACAACTTCAGTCATCAGGCTTGGCAGAGCAGCTTCGCCCACTGAGCCATTTTTGACAGTCCTCATTGCCTCAGTGTTTGAATTTGTGAAATGGACATCATAATAGCCACTTGGTTCACAGTAGCAACTCCATTGTGTGTAAGCTCATTAAACAGGACCTCTCACACAAATGACCAACATATGTTTCTTAAGAATAAGAATCAAAATAATAATAAGGGCTTGTGTTATAGTTGAGTTCTAAAGTGCTTTTTTTTTGCAAGCTTGAGGATCAGAATTCAATTCCCCAGAACCCATGTATGCTAGAGAGAGAGGGAAGGAAGGAAAGAGAGACAGAGAAAGAGGAAGAGAGAGGGGATGAGGGAAGGAAGGGAGAAGGAAGTGACATGTTATCATGTACTTATAATCCTAGCTTGTGGGAGATAGAGCCTTGTGAATCACTGGAACTCAGTGGACAGCCAGTCAAGCCTATCTGATGAGTACCTGGCCAATGAGAGACCTTGTCTCAAAAAGAGCAAGATGGACAGCCCTTGAAGGAAAACAATCTAGGCTGTACTCTGTCATCCATATATGTGCACTTCCACATGCACAGGCTGCCAAACACATGTATACAAGCACACACATGTACACACACACATGTGCACATATACTCAATCACAGATACAGACACATACGTAATCAATAAATAAGTAGATGTCAAGAATACAGTTTGTTTAAACAAAAATTCCAAAAGTAGAGTATTTATGTGACTTTCATTTTCCTGAGAGTCAGATACAATTCCTTTCTAGAGTAATCCTATTCATCCTTGGTAACTATCAGGTGAAGCTGATATTTGAGTCTTCTCTATGAGGAAACTGTCCACTTTTGAAGAAACCCCTTCTGAGTGATAGAAGATGCACATTGGTGGTGCCCCAACTCAAGTTCGGAGAGAGAAAATAAGATAATGTTCAGACACTGTGTTTCTCACATCTCTTCTCTCCCCCTGCAGTAGTAAGTCCCCTTCCAGTGCCTTTTACCATCAACTTCACTGTTATTAATCTGGAGTATGTGGAGGACATGGGTCACCCAGGATCCAGGAAGTTCAATGCCACTGAGAGAATCCTGCAGAGACTGGTGAGCTACCCACTCCAGTATATAAAGGTCAACCCACAGATGAAAGCTGCACTCACCAAACCATGCCATGACCAGGAAGAAGGCCCTAACCCCTAAACCTCAGCATAGTTCTCATGCCTCTCCCTTCTCTCCACAGCTCAGGGCGTTGATTGGTAAAACCAGGGTTGGCCCACTGTACACTGGATGCAGACTGACATTGCTCAGGTGAGACCTTATAACAACAGGCTAGGAGAGAGAGTTCAGCCAATAACGTGCTTCCTGACCTAGCATGGGGACCCAAGGTTGATCCCCAACACCCACCTAAAAAGCTAGTCATGATAGCATGTGCTTATAAACCCAGCACTGGAGAAGTAGATACTGGAGGGTCCCTGGGATTAGCTGGCCAGTCAACCTAGCCAAATCAGTGAGACCTAGGTCTGAGAGAGAGAGAGACAGAGACAGAGAGATAACAATCTAAAAAACACAAGATGGATGGCTTTCAAGGAAGAATAAACACAAGTTATTCCCCTAACCTCCACATGCATACATAAACATGAACACACACACACACATATACACCATCATGCTCCCCCAACAAAAGATTTTTTAAACACACACACACACACACAACACACACACACAAACACACACACACAAACACACACACACACACACACACACACACACACACCACAAGGATGATGGACCAGTCATACCTCAGGTATTTCTAAGCCAATTTATTCAGCTTTCCTTCTGTCTTTATGTTCTCAACTTCAGGGAATTTAGGACACATAACCTCTAGCACCACATTTCTTCCTGTTCCTAACATTTGTCCTCAGCTATCCCCATAGCCTACAACCCCCACAGGATCCTAATATTCAGCTATTCTTAATTCTTTCCTTGATCTCTGACTTTGGAATAAAGGAGGCGGTTTTAAGTTCAGTGCAAAGGACTTCTCTTAGGATAATTTTCTGCTCCCAATTCCAGTTTTCATCTATTGTAAATATGAGCCCTCTAGGCACTGTGACATGAGGATGTAGTTTGAGTCTTGCATTACATTTAACAGTTTCAGTCCATGTCTGCTCATGGCCACAAAACGTCAGTATATTCAGAGAGTGTAAGCCTATCTTTTCAGCAATATACCAGGTGATTCATTTCTTCTGGCCCTTTCCAGTCTTTTACCAGACACTTCTGGATCCCTTCCTAGGTAATCCATTTAATGTCAATCCCCTTGCCTGCCCTTCCCAGGCCTGAGAACAAGGGAACAGCCACGGGAGTAGATGCCATCTGCACCTACCACCCCAACACCTCTAATCAACAGCTGAATAGAGAACATCTGTACTGGGAGCTGAAAAGATTGAATGATGGCATCATGCAGCTAGGACCTTACACCCTGGACCAGAACAGTCTCTATGTCAATGGTGAGCTATATTTTAGAGTCATACTCCTCTCCCCCAACACCACTGCTTTCTCAATTCCTTCTCATTTTCACTCATTTTTCATTATCTATGTAGGTTATACACAGCACATTCTGGCCACCACCCACAGAAGTAAGTATCCTGAGTCTCCTTTATTCGTTAGTAAGCCCATGAGTGTGAATCCCTATCCCATGCTTGTAACTCACCTTCATTTGGCTATGAATGGGGAAGGTGTCACTTCCTTGTATCTCCTAATGCATGGGGTCTCCAGTCAAAACACTTAAATTATTTTTACTTTTCAGCATCAGTAATGGCCACTGTTTCTGAAGAAATGCCAAATATTTCCTCCACTCCCACAGGTATGAATTCCCCTCTGTTTAGATTCTCCCAGTCATTTAAAAGATCAGCAGAGGTCTGGGGCAGATGCAGAACCCCAGAGGACCCCAAAAGGATCTCACAGCATCTTCCCAGGTCACCGAGGAATCTGCCATACACTTCCCTAGCAACCTTCATCCTAAAGTATCCCCTAGTACCTGCTTCTGAATCTTACTGGCTCTTAAATTCTACATCATCCAACCTTCCTGACAACAGTACATCCCATCAGGACTATTTGCTGAGGGTATTTATTTAGTCTATAATAACTGATGTGTGGAGATCCAGCACATTAAACAATCAAATCTCTAGTTTAACAACTAATCAATGATTTTGTTTCAATAACTACTTTTGGCACTAAAGACATGGCTTAGGTGCCAAAATGTTTGTCTAGCAAGCACAAAATTCTGAGCTCCAACCAGCATCACACAAATTGAGCACTGAAGTTCTTGCTTGTAACTTGGGAGGTGGAGGCATAATTACTTGAAGTTTAAGGTCATTGTTGGCCACATAGAGAGTTTGAGGTTGGCCTGGGCTACACAAAAGCTGGGGGGGGAAAGAAGAAAAAACTTCTCTTGTTGAATAGACTAAATAGATAAGGGGTTATTCTTTTTGCTAAATTACTAGTATCCCCCAGTGTAAGTGTGTATCAACTTCCTGACTACAAAAGTATAATCACATCTTATTAGCAGAAATTTAAATGTTTGATTTGTCTAAAATCTATGAACCAGTCATTTCGGTATTTCTTGGATTTCTTCCCCAACTATTCTACAATATTTTCTTTGTGAAAGTGCCAAAGATAGCAGAAACACCTTTACATTGAGCAAGAAAATCCATCTGCTCACCACTGGGATTTCGTGCTTGTAAACCACTTGTGCTGTTTGATTCTAGCAGTGTGAACTGTACATCAGGTGACATAAACGTTTGTATAAGTTACTTCTCTCATTGCTGTGACAAAATACTCAACAAGAAGCTTCTTTAGGGAGGACGGGTTTGTTCTGGTTTCCCGTTGGAAGGGCATAATCTGCCGTAGCGGGTGGGAGCAGGAGGCCAACTGACCTCATTGCATCCAAAGTCAGGGATTAGAAAGGAAGTGGAGCTGGGCTCACTTCTTCCAGCAAGGCTCCACCTCCTAAAAGTTCCACAACCTTCCCAGCAGTGCCTCCAGCTGTGCACCAAGAATTCCAACACATGAGACTGCAGGAGACATTTCTCCTTCAAACCACAGCAAGACTCCTAAAAACTAGACTGCTATGATACAGTGTCATGTATGCAAACTCAGGGTTTGTATTGAAAATACCGTTGAGAATCAACACTTGAAAGGTTGTCAAAGCTACCCTAACTACCACCACGCAGGCCCCGCCAACAGGCGACCAGCCGTGCCGATTGGCCTACAGGCCGGTATCCTGTGCTCTGATTGGCCTGCCACTTCCCCTGAGCGAACCTTTAAAACTCTGTTACATTGTAACTAAATGGCGACTCTCATTCACAACCTCCTGAAAACGCTTGGGCCCAGTTCTACAGGGAAGCCATTGAGCACTGCAGGAGCCAAATCTCACAGCTGTGTGCAGAGCGGAGTGTGTGTCTGCCCTTCCTGGACTGGCAGACTGGGGTAGCCCAGAACAACTGCTACATCTGGATGGAGAAGAGGCACCGAGGCCCAGGCCTTGGTCCGGGCCAGCTGTACATGTACCCTGCTGGCTGCTGGCGCAAGACACAATGATTGCATCCACCAAAGGACCCAAAGCTTCAACTCCTGCAAATAAAACCTGAAGTAGAGCTGCCCCTGAAGAAAGCTGGCTTTACCTCTGAGAGCACCACAATGGACGCCTTGCTTTGTGGTGAGGGTGTAGAGAAGAAGGTGGATGCCAGAGATGAGGAAAGCACCCAGGAAATACAGAGGGTTTTGGAAAAGGATGAAAATGTAGAAGAAAGGAATGAAGAGGAGGATTTGGAAGAGGACATTCTCAAGCACAAGAACAGGACCAGAGGATGGGCTCGTGGCTTTGCAGGTGGCAGGAGGAGATATGATGCTGCTTCTCAGGAAGACCATGACAAACCGTATGTCTGTGACATCTGTGGCAAACACTACAAGAATTGACCCGGACTCAGCTACCACTATGCTCACACTCATCTGGCCAGTGAGGATGGGCATGAAGCCCAAGACCAGGACGCTGGGTCCCTGCCCAACCACAGAAATGAGAACCACAGACCCCAGAAAGTACCAGATGGGACAATCATTCCCAATAACTACTGTGACTTCTGCTTGGGGGGCTCCAACATGAACAAGAAGAGTGGGAGGCCTGAAGAGCTGGTTTCCTGTGCAGACTATGGACGCTCTGCTCATTTGGGAGGCGAAGGCAGGAAGGAGAAGGAGGCAGCGGCCGCAGCACGTACCACGGAGGACTTACTCGGCTACACATCAGAAAGTGACACCTCAACTTTCTACGGCTTTGATGAGGATGATTTGGAAGAGCCCCGCTCCTGTCGAGGATGCCGGGGTGGCCGGGGTTCACCCACAGCAGATAAAAAGGGCAGCTGCTGCGCCCATGGGACAGACTCTCTGGCCAATTATCCACCCCCTCTGACTCTGGTCACTGTTCTAGTTCCGATCTATATTTTTAAATGAAAGATGACTTGGGCTTTTCCCATTATCCTTGCTTTTTTTCTCCTACCTTCCACGGGTCCCTTCCCCTCCTAGCATCCTTCTATTCTTGGTACAACAGAAGCACAAACTACTGAAAACAAATCAACAAAAGAGAAGAGTAAGAGTCCTCCAGGGAGAGATGGCACCATGGTGGGCTATTTATTTTCCCTAGAAATAGGAAGCTAGGTGGGTTTTCTTTCTGCTGGGGGAGGGCATCTTTTTGATGTGAGCAGAGTTGATTTACCCAGTTTTCAAGAGAAGAGGAACATGAGGTTTGGAAACAAAGAACAAATAACATTCGTAATTATTATTTATATATGCTAGCTATTATTAGATTCAGATGAAGGAAGAGGGGAGAGAGAGAAAGAGAGAGAGAGAGAGAGAGAGAGAGAGAGAGAGAGAGAGAGAGAGAGAGAGAATGGATGAATCAAAGAAATGGAAGTAATATCCTGTTTAGAGGCAAGCCACAGGTGTGTGTGTATGTGTAGAATTTCCTCAATGGGAGTTGGTGGCTCCACAGAGCAGAACCCTCTCCATGACCTTTACATCTTTCTCTCTGCTTGTGAGAAAATGGCAGCCATCCGAGAGAGAAGCCTGGGGCCACTTACATTTGGCCTCCCTCCAGCTCTGGCCCTGAACAGCAGTGGCCACTTCCCTTGGCTCCTCTCTCCTTTCCTGGTTACTGGGTTTCCCTCACCTTGGCAAAGATGAGCGTCCATCTGAACACAGGAATGGAATGTCAGCAAGTCACAAGCTCAGCCCTGGCAGAGCCACTGAGGTGGCGCTCCTGGAAGGAAGAACGATACTACACAACGTATCTCCCTCCCTTCGCTCCTGCATAAAAACATGTAGCCACCCATTGGATGATGACGTCTTCCATATTTCTTCTACTTTTTATAGTGCCTGCCAGGCACTTTGTTTTATATTTCAAGTAGCATTTCCTGAAATAAACCAAAGTAACACTTGGTCCGAGGCCTCAGGGACAAGGAAGACTGTCCACCTCATTGGCAGTCTCTGAGAACAGCTGGGAGGCCCTGCTCAAACAGTCCACTCTGGGACCCAGGAACTGTGCATCCTTCAAGCAAGCCATTCCTGAAGAAGGTGAAGAGAATCCAGACGATGAGTCTCTCCTCCTCTGCCTCTCCTTCTCTCGTCCAGCCCTTCCTGAGCATGAATTTCAGCTAATGCCAGAACCTGCAGGGATTGGATGGAAAAGCCTCCAGCATCTCTCAGCTCAGCTCAGCCAAGTTTCGGAAATGGCTTGTGCAATAAGATTTTATTTTTTTTTTCCTTTTGAAATTCTTCATTGCCTCTGCTTGAAATTTCTGTGAGAAAATACCCAGCTCAGAGTGGAATTTTCTTGCAATAGAAACAACAACATAAACTGACAAAGACCAAAAAACAAGTGAACTATTTTATTTATTTCAATATTTAAAAGAAATATTTAAAAGAAAAACGTACTGACATTGTACAGTATTTTTGTTGAAAGTACCTTCTACTCCAAAAGTTTAGAAAAAGGCAATTTTGTGAAGACCTGAAATCAAGAGTGCTTACTGTAAAATAAAGGCATCGTATTGACTCTAAGGAAAATACCCCACATTTTAAATAAGGAAATACAGATCAACTCTGCTCTCTCAGGCTTTTAAGAAAGCCACGTGTATGTGCTTTAGTTTTTTTCTGTTGTCGCTAATTTCTGCTAGTTAGATGTGGTAAGTGAGGAGTGGTTAGTTTGTCCAAAGTCCACTGGAAAGTATTGTTGATATTAAGAAATTATGTGCCGGGCAGTGGTGGCACACGCCTTTAATCCCAGCACTTGGGAGGCAGAGCCAGGCGGATCTCTGTGAGTTCAAGGCCAGCCTGGTCTACAAAGTGAGTTCCAGGAAAGGTGCAAAGAAACCCTGTCTCAAAAAAAAAAAAAAAAAAAAAAAAAAAATGTGTTAGGCTTTGACTAAAATAAATTAGCCCCAAGCCAGCAGGTGTCCACTCTCTGCCCTCCCTCACCTCAGATGAGCCCCATTGATCTGAATGTAAAGCTACAGCCTGTCCATCTTGTCTCATGAGGCCTGCTCGAGGAAGGAATTCTACCCACTGATCGAATGCATTGCTGCAAAGTTTAGCAGATCCAACCAGAAATGATTTTGTTCAGAACAGTTCAATGAAGAGAAACAGAAGAGTCAAAAGTAAGCAGAGGATGAGGTGACATTAGTTCAGTCCCCTGACAGCTCCTCAAGAGAGTTGGCCAGGGAAGCCCTACCGAGTGGACTCAGGGGCCTGAGAGCCTAGAGTGCCTCTGAAGGCTAGGGAGTTGGCTGGAGGATAGGAACCTGAAACTCAGTCATT